ACCATGACCCAAAACCTTACGAAGTTTTTAAATCACATCGCCATAAAAACCAGACTGGCTAATCCCTTGTCGCAGAAGAGTTTTTAAATCACTATTGAATTTTGAAATTGTAAAATTTTGTAAATATTCCCGTAATTTATGATAGCGGTAGCCCTGTTTTCATGGTTTTAGAAGCTTGCTGGTTATAAAAATATTCCGCTCGTTGAAATCCTTTACGTTGCTACAAGCTCTAGCGAATCTAATTAACTGAGAAACATATACCCCGTAAGATTTTGCATGCGGTACGTCTCCATCTAAATTTGGATAATTAACTAAACAAAGGTCAAAATCATCTCTTTTATCCTAGATTTTCGTGTGAACAGAATTGTTGTTGATAGTAATATGAAGATCCAAAAATGATGTACTAAAATTAGAGTTCGTTTTATTAAGTTGTAGTTCATGGGGATAATTGTCAGACACCATTTGATCAAAATAATAATTATCTAAATTAAAAATATCATCAAGGTATCTGGAAGTATTATTAAATGCGACTATAGCATCTTTTTGTTTATCTTCAGAGAGACTCAACATAAAGTCTCTTTCATAGCAGTACAAAAACAAATCGGCGACCAGGGGTGCCCAACTAGTACCCATAGAAATTTCAATGATCTGTTTAAATAGGGTATTACCAAACCTGACATAAATGTTGTCTAAAAGAAAAGAGAGTGCTCTACAAACTTCGTCACAGGTCCACGTAGTATAATGTTTAACAATACCGTTAGTAAAAAAACCTTGTTAGAATTACATGCTAGAAAGGTAACTTTTTCCCGTGCAAAAGTTTTCTGAATTAGGGAAATTAGTTTATCATTGATTAATTTATGTGGCAAAGTTGTATGAAGTGTAAAAAATCGTATGTACTGACAGTTAAATAGTTATGTTTGATGAATTAGATGTAGAAATAACAATTTTTGAAATTATCATAGCTATAAAGCAATTAAAGTGTAACACGGCAAGTGGACCGGATATGTTTTATAAATGGTGCTGATCAATTAAAAAGTTACTTTTACGTGTTATATAATTGTTGTTTAAGCGTGGGTTATTTTCCTGAGCAATGGAGTTAGGGTTTGTTGTTCCAATTCATAAGTCTGGTGATATAAATGAACTAGGAAACTACCATGGAATCACATTACTGAGTAAATTTTGCAAATTGTTTAGTCGAATTTTGAACAACAGACTCGATAATTCGGCTGAAAACTATTCTATATACGAGTATGTTGAGGTTCAGGCAGGTTTTAGAAAAGGTACGGGTACAACTGATAATGTTTTTGTTCTTAACGGTTAGATTAACCATTGTTTAAATAATAAGGAATATTTGTACTGTGCATTTATAGATTTTCAAAAAGCTTTCGATTTTGTTGTTGGGGATATATTGTGGTACAAACTTTTGTGGAAATATAGAAATGCTATAAAGTCAATGTACAGCAATGTTAAGTGTTAAATGAAATGTAATAATGATTTAAGTGATGCGTTTTACTGTCATTTAGGCGTTCGTCAAGGTAAAAGTCTCTCACCTTTTTCTTTTAGCATGTATTTAAATGATTTGGAGCAGATGTTTAATAATAGAGGTATAGAAGGTATTGATGTTGGAAGAATAAAGATAGGTCTGTTGTTAAACGCCGATGATATAATTCTTTTTGCGAAAAGATGAATTGCAACATTCCCTAAATATTTTATTAGAATATTGTAATAGATGGAAATTAACAGTAAATACGAGAAAAACTAAAGTCATGGTGTTCAGAAAAGCAGGTAGATTACCTCAGAATTTACGTTTCTTGTATAACGATCAAGAGTTAGAAATTGTAGCACGTTTTAAATATTTAGGTGTTCTATTTACGTCAGGTGGTTCATATATTCCGCATCAAAAGCTGTAACTGGGCAGGCTTTAAAAGCTATTTTCAAAATGAATAAATATTTATATTAATTTACAGATTTATTACCTAAACATACACTTAATTTATTTTATAAGTTAATAATGCCAATTTTTAATGTATTCCTCAGAGGTGTTGGATTTTTTAAAGCTTCACATATAGAAAGAACATATTTAAGTTTTTGTTAAAGATTGTTAAGTGTTTAAGCATCTGCCCAAAATGAGTTTGTATATGGCGAGCTTAGTAGACAAAGTATGATATCATATAGAATGTTTAGTGTTATAAAATATTGGTTTAAAATATGTACATGTCCAGTAAAGCATCAAAGTATATTAGAAATATTTATTTGATGTTACAGAATGACGCAGTTAACGAACTAAATGTAACCAACTGGGTGATTAATCTTAAGAGCTTACTGATAAAAGGTTTGAGGATTTGAACATGTATGGTTAAACCAAGGTGTTGAAAATAAAGAACTATTTTTATTGATATTAAAGCAAAAAATAAAGTTCTTTTTTTATTCTATCTTATATAGTTTCAGAGTAATATCCCGGACAACGTTCAAAGTGATGTAAAAATGAACAAAGGGCAATATCTTCAATATTAGGCAAGGCAGACTTACGGTTTTATTGCACTGCACGTCTACTCAATGAGATCTATCTACCTACAAAGTTTCTTGTTGATAACTCTTGTAATTTCAGAGTTATATCCCTGACAAAGTTCAAAGTTTAAAAAATGAACAAAGGGCAAAACTAAAAAAATAGGCGAGAAAGACTCAATAAGACCTATCTACCTACAAAGTTTCTTGTTCATATGTAGTTGCCGGACATGAAAAGGGGACGTACAGACAAAGCGGCGACTATATGTTTTCCCTTCGGGGAGCATAATAGATATGTGCACATGTTACATGAGACCTACCCACCACCCTGCTGGGTACACAAAATGTTGAGCTTTTGTGATAACAATTTGTCCGGCCTCCATCGTCCATTAGTGCGTCCGTCCACCCGTCGTTAAATCTTTATACAAACGATTTCTTCTCAGAAACGACTGGGTCAAATTTAATGAAATTTTCCTTGGATGTTCATTACTAAAATTGTTCAATTGTTTTCTCCTTTGAAGATCTGGGTCACAAATTTTTAAAAATTTCTTCTCTGAAAGTGCAAGGCCTTGAGCTTTTTTGTCACTCTAGAGGTTACATTTTTAGTCCAAATATCCTCGAAATATGTCAGAAAGGTTGTTTGAATTATTTTTAGTTCAGGTTTGAATATGGGTCATCTGAGGTCAAAAAAGGTCACAGGTCATAAATAGGCATGTATGGAAAAACCTTTGCGCTATTTCAGGTGCAGATATGACTGTTATGATATCAGTTTAAGTTAATGGCATTATATAGATATTGCATTCATTGCTATCAATATTAATTCAGAGCCTCAATGATAAGGTGAGCGATATAAGGGCCATCATAAGGTCAGAATAATACAGAACCCCGGAGCATGATCAATATAGCTTTTGTAGATGTCAACAAGGCAACGCTTCATGCAAGATATCTAAGTTTTTATATAGATATAATATTCTTGGGCATATAAATATGTGTTATTATTTCTTCCCTCAATGTAAAGCTTAAAAAAACAGTCTTTAAAAAAAACACTGGTAGTCAGGGGATACACATTTTGCAACCTCTAATATTAATTTGGTATTTCTTCGAACATATATTTTGTTTTAATGCATAATAAAACAGGTACAGCAACATCAACTTAATATCAGCCCTTCAACCCATATCAGTCCTTCCATGAGTAAAAGACTGCCCACAGTATGACTAAACAGAGGTAACATTGTAAATTTACATTGCCGGTACTCTTGACATCTTCATTCATGTCTGACGTTCTGATAAATTGCCTTACAAATGACATTTTATATGTATAATTTACAACTTATTTTTTTTAGCGAATTAACACATTTTAAATAACATCATTTTAGTTAATAAGATTGACTTATTTAAACATAATTAAATAATATTAACCTAATGTCTCCTCAATAATTAGAAACTTTACAGAAAAAAAAATATAGGGTGTATACATAAAGAAGTTATAGATTTTGGGAAATAAAGGGAGGTAGCATACATATGTATTGAGAGGAAACATGTTAATAAATTCTCCCTTTGTAATACATGTATTTACACTTATATAAAGAGTTTAAATGAGTCAGTGTGACCTTGACTGAAGACGTCAAAACTTGCGCTCTGCGCATCATCTCAGTAATATTTATATTTCTGCCAAATAGATTTATTTTCCTACAATCCGTATAAAAATGCAGAGAGGTTACAAAATTTTGAAATTATGAATTATTACATTGTGACCGAGTCCTTGATCTATAAAAGTTTAAACCTGCGCTCTGCACATTGTCTTGTTATTGTTAAGATTTCTGGTAAGCAGTTTTACTTTCCTTCCACTGGTTCAAAATATACAAACCGGACACGGAAACTCCTATATAAGTCTATATAGGGACGAACGCATTTTGATCTCAGGTGGCTCGCACGTCAGTTCTGCATACCGTCTCATAATAAGTAATATGTTTGTCAAAAAGCTTTAATTTCTTTCTAAAAGACACAGAGCGAACTCGAAATGTTGAAGTCGATACAAGATGACTTGGTGTGACCTTGACCTGAGAAATGTCAAATCTGCACTCTACACATTGCGCCAATTTTACCATGATCACATTACCTTTTATTTATGTCATGGTTTTAGGGTCAGTACAGAAAGGTCACGTGACTGTGGTAAAATTGTTTGCATAAATTAGCAGTTACATGTCTGTTTTGATCTATGGCTTTGTAATGTTTCTTATGTTAATCACGTAAAGTGTATTTAATAACCATACCTTGGTTGGAACAGCATTGCCCATGACCAATTGATGATACTTTGGTTGTAAGGTCAAGGGTCAAGGTCACCTTGAAGAATTTGAAAAGGTGAATTCGTTAAGTTGCATTGATGAATTCACGACGCTGAAATTTCCCTGTTTGTCTTTTGTTCCATGTACAATTTTTTGTTAGATATAATTAACGCGGTATCATTGAAGAATATGTATGATTCTTTGTTGCAGATAAGACGTTTTGTTGGCGCAGCAGAATTAAAGCCAGACGGAAAACCATTTAAAGTACGTAATTCTCATTTTTATGAAATTAGATACAATTCAAAAGTATTGCAATTCGTGGTTTATAAATCAAAGTATGTTATCTAATATAAAATAAATCAATAACGATACGTGCACCCTCGCATTTTTAGACAAATTTGTAAAACATTGCTATTTTTTACACTGACAAAACAAACACGCTCGCGCACACTCACACATACGCACTGATATATTACCAGAAACATTTAAACATTGGTCAATCTACATAGATTACCTCGTATTTAAAAACTTTTACCATTCATAAGTAGATTTCAAGAACTGGAAGATAATATTTCTTATACCAATGCTTGAATCGAACTCAATGGATATCGAAACAGATAGATAGAAATGTGGAAATTATTATTATAGAGAGATAATGCATTAAGAGGTAAAGGCTGCAATGTATTTAGAACAAACAAGAGCGTGTTTGTTAAACTTTTATGGAGGTTACACGAATATAAATTATTTTTTATCACACACCCTTGAAACACAGACGGTTGGGGTCATATCCTGCCCCAACGTGATACGCCCCTGTAAACACTATATAAAAATATTATAATATTTAAACACAAAATTGACATCTAACTGGTTTTCAAACAGTTTTTACATATTTTACCATCAAGGCTCAATAAAGTATTTGACCCCCCAAGTGTCTGTTCATAGAACGGTTAACGGTAAACAAGAATCATTTTTCATTGACGCGCTTATAATTCAGTTCGTCTTTACGAGAGTCATTCATTATATAATGCAATAATTTCAGAAGTAAATATTCTAAGGTTGCTATTATTATCCCTTGTGATCATTGACGTACTTCCACCTAGTTATGTTCATTGCTAGGCAACTATTCTGAAACAATCTCACCCTCGTGACCACGGCAAATTCCTCTTAATTGTTTTAACGAATACCCCTAATGTCCCCCTTTAGATTGGGAACATGGACATATATGTCGTTGCAGTCATAGGCACTCGGTTCCTAAACCTTCTATGATTTTAATTTATTTTTAAAAAAAAATTCATATCATGTATATAAAATACTACAAGGTTTCGCAGCCGCCATGTTTTAACGCAACGGAAGTACGTTGACTGGTGTACAATTTTAAAAAAAAATACTGGCTCCCGAGTCACATATTAAAGCATATTGTTGATGCGGGTACCACGGCGAAATAGTCAATAATTGTGGTACCCGTATTAGCCAATAGTCTCTATTCATCGAATCGGGAACTAGTGTTTTTTAATGAAAATTGTACACCAGTCAACGTACTTCCGTTGCGTTAAAACATGGCGGCTGCGAAACCTTGTAGTATTTTATAAACATGATATGAATTTTTTTAAAAAATAAATTAAAATCATAGAAGGTTTAGGAACCGAGTGCCTATGGTTGCGGTTTGTTTACTACCAAAGTTATGGTTGAATTACCTTCGTATAATACCGTTTTTAAGGAGTCGAAAAGCGGCTAAGGTATAAATATTGTGCTAAAATATTTGAATGTAATATAGATTTGAATGTTTTATGTGTACATGATGATGAATGAAACTTTAAAACATTGTCGTATCGATTCAGACATGGCCTTTTCATGGGAAACACACAGATACACCATTTAAAATTATGACAGAGATGATGGCAAAAGAAGAAAAGCAGGCTGCCATCGGGTTATTGTGTATGCGTATTGCAAAATTTCTAGAAAGGAGTGAAAAGGATATAACATGCAATACAGAAATCGCTTTTTATGACGATGCTGGCAAGTTATACACAATTTCTGCAGGAAAGAGAGAGAACAATATTCTTGCTTCATTTGACAGCAAAGGAAATCCTATCGTAAGAATGAATATATCTATTATATAGGGCGAGAGCTTATTTCGTGTGCCTTATAAAAATCAGTTATATAAACATCATCTTAAACTGTTGATGAACACATATTCAGCAGAAGATGAAAAAAAATTTCAATTTCATATTTTTATATTTTTTCATTTCTTTCATAAAATTATCTTTATTTTCTTAACCATTATTATTTATTTTTCATTTTATTTGCTCGATTTTTAAAAAAAAAGTAGAGGTGGCGGCATTGCCGTTACCGTCCGCAAACTTGTACCAGGATCATAACTGTTTTACTTCTTGGTATATTGTCTTCATACCTGGCCACAACAACCCTTTGGACAAGACCTTTCAGTGGACCACACTAACCTTGATCTTCATCCATAAACGACCTTGACCTTCAAGGTCAAAAGTCCAAATTTTGCTTGTCCTTGCTATTATTGGCTGTAACTTGGTTATTTTTGAATGGATTGTTTTCAAACTTAAACATAATAATCTACAAGGATATCCCTTAAAAAAGCTAGACAGACCTTGACCTTCACTTATAAATGACCTTGATTTTGAAGGTCAATTTATTGAAGTTTTCATTTTTGGGGGACTATTATTGGCTGTAACTTTGTTATTTTTGAATGGATTGTCTTCAAACTTGAACATAATAATCTTCAAGGATAGCCCTTAAAAATTACTAGACAGACCTTGACCTTCACTCATAAATAACCTTGACTTTTAAGGTCAAATTATTGAAATTTTCATTATTTTTTGCTGTAACTGGCTGTAACTTTGTAATTATTGAATGGATATCTTTATTTTATAACAGAACATTCTAAAGCACAAGACCTTCATGTTTATCAAACTCAAATTGACTTGGGCTCTTTAATGACCTTGACCTTGAAAGTTAAATTTACTGAATTTTTACTGATTTGTGCATTAAATGATCATAAATGTCATCGTTGATTTGTGAGACATGATAACAGAGAACAAACTCTATATATGCGAATGTTGAGAATGTTTCAATGTGTAGTGCAGTTTGTGACTGTAAATAAAGCTGTTCTGAAGCCATCATTTTGTGATGGTGGATGAGCAGTGGCTATGCTTTCATGACTGTTCTGCTAGGCGCTGTGCCGTAATTGGACTGGTATATCGATGCGATGGTATGTGTGTATATATATTCTCTCATTTCTATAACAATTTATCTGCACACTTGTATCTTTATCTGATCCCACGTAGGGGAAAGTATAACTGTATTGAATTTAATTATCTCCCTTTATATCTAAATTCATTGTATCCTACTTGATCTTACGGGATCGAGTTGACTATCGGAAATAGATATATAGTTCTCTGGTCCCAATCAGTGAAGAAGACAATAAAAATGTCATCGTTGATTTGTGATACATTATTACAGAGAACAAACTCTATATATGCGAATGTTGAGCCTGTTTTAATGTGTAGTGCAGTTTGTGACTGTATATAAAGCTGTTCTGAAACCATCATTTTTGAGATGGTGGATGAGCAGTGGCTATGCTTTCATGACTGTTCTGTTAGGCGCTGTGCCGTAATTGGACTGGCATATCGATGTGGTGGTATGTGAGTATATATTCTCTCATTTCTATATATATTATATATATATACATATCAATGCGTATGTATATATATTTGTATAGAGAAAACTAATGTGACAAGACAGACCGATTAATTTTTTAAAAAGGAAACGTTAAGATTTGTTCAAACATTTCTTTGTTTGCTTTTAGAAAAAGTAAAAAGTCGAGCGTTGCCCCCGCCCGGTGGTGACTCTTGTTGTTTTTATTTGTATTTTTAATATTTTCTTTCTTTAATCACTTTCTGTCCTGCATGAATTTACAGGTGCTTTTCATTTACTCTTCAGATTGTTCAGTTTAAAGGCGAAGAATATTCATTTTCACCGTCGGTAAGTGTAAAATTTTGTTAGTACTGTAAAGTAAGTAAGCACTATCATAAGATTCGATTATAAACAGAATAAACCATACAAAAAATAACATATTTCTGTTAAATCCGTCGTTGAATCAAATATTTTTCAATTTGTTTATTGTTATTTGGATTAATGGTTTATCCGTAAAAATTATATTTGATAATTTCACAGAGAAAATTATCAAAATATTATTTCACATTTTTCAACAAAGAGGCTACTTTTGAAGAGATTTCCCAGACTCAATTTTGTTTTCGCTTACAATTTCGACATAATCAAACCTGATGTCAGCAAAGCTGAAATTATAAATAACTTAAATTACAAACGTAATTAAAAGGATAAAAAATACTCCAATTCATTCAATTTACTGATCACCAAACATCGTATCTAATTTTTATATTAACACAGAACAGTCTGATAATCAAAATTCCTTCTTCAAGAAAAAAAAATGCTCTTGATATCCTACGAGCAAAAACAGTTACTGCAATGAATATGTCGAAGCAATAACAGTCCTCAAACAAGTTAAAAAGGTTTCCTGCGGTGGAAAGTTTTGTAATAATTTAAAGATATTTTATTTAACTCTTTTTATAATTGTTTGAAAATAACTTTGTATCGAGACCAATCAAGTACGGTTCACAGACACTTATAGATCATGTGCTCCTCCGTGTATTGAAACAGGTCTCGTGTTCCTCCATGCTTCAAAAAGAGCCGCAAACCAATATCCTGAGGGCTCCAGCCCGTAGGTAATAAGAGCCATGTTTTACATGGTTAATCCCGTCTCCGGAAGGTTGTTCTTTCGAACCTGAAGGAGGTACTTTCGTATATTTTACATTGTGAGAGGAAATCCTTTAAAAGGGGACCTTTCCAGTGTTTACAATTTTATGTAAATTGGCTAACTTGTTGTCTAATTGCTACACCGAGATAATACATAGTCACTGGTTGACCTGCACAAAAGAACACGTGGTTATGTTTGTGATACTGTTTGTGAGCAGTTGACCTAGAAATGAATGGAAAAGGTGGGGCTAAATGTTCCGCTCAAAAAAACCGGAAAGGTCCATTAGGATCATGCTGAGTTAGGTGGAAAAAGATAAGGCATTGAAAATGTTTTCAAAATTATATTAATGTTCATTACCAAAACAGGTATGAGGAATAATGAGGTGGTAACAGGATTAACAGAACTATGTAACATTTATTTATTTTGTTGGTTAACGTCCCACCAATGCAAGTTTAGGTCAAATGGATACGTGTATCAATCTTAAATGATGAACTGTATATGTATGGTATAGGATAGGCATGACATCAGAAACGGAATATTTAAATTATTCCCTTAAGTACACTTGGAATTATGCTCTCGATTCTTTTTTCAAATAGATTTGATAAAGAGGAATAACTCTAACAGTAGGCAGTGTAGAATTATTGCTATTGTATAGTGCAATTTTTGCTAATGTGCTATATCAGTGTATAAGGTTTGAAGTAAATCCCTCATGTACTTTCGAAGTTATGATTCGGACAAAGTTTTCAAGTAAATATGATACAGAGGAATAAGTCTTAACGTAAGCAAAGTAGAGTTATTGTTCTTGAACACTTTCTCCCAATATGCTCTATCAGTATACTGAAGAAATCACTCAAGTAATTTTGGAGTTATTCTCCGGGATCCATCGATGCACGGACGTACACCATTTCTAATATCTTCTTCGCCTTTGTCGTCGGAATAGCAATCCAGCGTTCATAAGACAATCTTTCAAAAACATGATAGTCGCTTCTTGAATGTATACACATTTGTCAACAATTATTTATTCAAATGAAACAATCCTCGAAATATTTACAAATTTGCAAATCCAATTCAAATCCAGACTTTGAACAGAACAAAATTCTAGGATAGACCTTCCAGTTAATTAGACAGACCTTAACACTCACTCATAAATGACCTTGATCTTGAAGGTCAAATAATTGAAATTTTCATTATTTTTTTGTGCTGTAACTGACTATAACTGGATTGACTTATAAAGACAAAGCATTCTTAAGGATAAGAACTTCTTGTTTGTCAAATTCAAATTGAGACTAGCTTATTATGACATTGACCTTGAATGTTAAATTATTAAATTTTCACTGATATTGCTATAATTAACTGTCACTGAATAATTAATCAATGGATTATATTCATACTTCGATAAAACAACCTTTTGGACAAGACTTTCTGAAAGGCTGACCTGACTATGATCTTGAGTTTTAAATGACATTGACCGTCAAGGTTAAATCATTGAATTGTGGTTAAATTATCATAATTTTATTATTTATGTACCAATTTGATTTTGTACTTGGACAAAACAAGACTTGCTATCAAAAGAAACATAATTGACTAATTAAAATGTGACATTGACCTTAAATCGACCTTCACCATCAAGATAAAAATAATTAAATTCGCTTGTTTTTGCTGTCCCTTTGTTTTTAATGGAAAAAAACTTCATATTTAAACATAACATCTTTAACACGAGGACCTTCATGTACATTAAACTCTAATTGACCTGGAATCATGTATGACCCTGACCTTGAATATAAAAAAATGGATTACTGCTATGGATGTAACTTGGTAGTTAATCTATTAATTATTGGCGTCCGCGCCGAAGCGCGGCGCCCCTTTATGGAATGAAATCAGATTTTGTGAAAGGGCGACAGCAACTTCTCGAGCCTTTTAGTCGGTCATAATAAAAGCCGATCATTCCGATCGGTATGAGGGTGCTTGATTATTATTAATTAAAACTGAAATGTCGCGATATGTACAATGAATAGCGAACTAGAGGATTTCGCAATGCAAACATTTTCAAATGCAATAACCTTTTCCGTCTCTTCGTTTTTTTTATTTATCATTTTGTAGTACACAGTGGGTTATCATGGTATGTTAAAATAGAATGATGAGTTGATGACCTAAATATTCCGAAAATCTATTTATAGAGGGATGTACTCCTATCGGTAATTCCGGTCTCTACCGGTCTATTTTGACCGGGATACTAGTGACCACACGTTTATTGTCCGGTCTCTCCCGGTTTTGGAGTAGATGTTTGATATCGTTACAGAACAGAACAAATATTTTACAGATAAATAAGCTTTTTTCCAAAATGAATGTTTGTCACTTAGTTTGGTTACAATAATTAATAAACATAGATCAACTCTCAAATTTATTGATTATTATTATACATAAACATACAATTCGAGAAAACAACAACAACAACAACAACAATAGCATGTTTTATTTTATCTATATGAGATAAAAACAATAAAAATGTACAATAATTGTGAAAAAAGGTTTTAATATGACACTATCAACTTTGAAATATTTTATTTAATTTGTTATTCGTGTTTAGTAAAGATGTCGAGGAATTATTCAAAGTTACAAATTAGATTTTATTAATAATTTAATTGATTGATAATTTAAAAAATGATAAAGAAAAATACAAATGTACATGTACATGGTTTAAGAATAAACAATATTATATATTGAAAGATTAACCATAATTTACTGACATTTTTCCAGTTAAGTTTTGACTTATAATCGTCGGTCAATATGACAATTGAATTCTTAAAATTTATTTTACAATTTTAATAAAAAAAAGAGTAGTAAACGTAAAAAACTCAGTATTAAAAAAGCACATAAAAACACAAAAAAGAGAGGAAACAATATTCATAAAATCTGTATTTTTGTTATTAAAATAGATATTACAATTATTGTATAATAAACAATAATGCTCAACATGACATGGTAATATAACCAGTGTCATATTTTTACTAAGTGTGAACAGATACCTTAAGAGGGGGTTTTCGCTAATAGCGATTACATAATAAGGGACAATTCCACAAGTGTGGTGTTGATCATGCGTTACACATATGGATTATAAATGATTGTATACATGTATATCCGTTGCTATTAATAATCACGATCATAAAGAAATAACAAGTAATATTCTAATCTCTAGCATGCCAATCAAAGTTCATAATGAACAATGTCTTCCGTCCGTTCATTCTGGTAAAAACCAATTAACCATTGAAAAGTTTATAAGAATATCCTGACATCATATGTCTACTAGTTCATTTCCACTTTCTGCATTTCTTGCTTGGACGCCCTTTGATGCTTTGCATCAATGCTTTTCTTGTCTCAATACTTGAACAAAACATTTTTTGACTACACCTTCTAAAAGGTTGAACTATTTTTGACCTTTAGCTTTAAATGACCTTATCGCAGTGGTCAGATGATTGAATTTTGCTTATTTAAGCTTTTTGTTTGTTTGTTTTTAGCTTTGCCATTTATTTATGGAAATGTTTAAGACTTGGACGAAACAACTAGTGTGACTAGACGGACCTATTAAAATAACAAAAGACAATCTCATTTTTGTCTTTAATTTTCTTTTTAAATATTTGTTTCAAAGGGATACTCAGGGAAATAAATGACAAAATATCAAATTCGTCATATTAACTAAAACGCTAAAACGATGTGTTTTAAAGTTCAGCATGTTTTTTTTCTGTATAAATACTATATAATGTAAGTTTAACATTTTAATAAATATGCATATGTTGAACGAAATGAAGACGCAGACAGAATCAACGAGTTGTTTTAAAACAAGTTATTTGACAATAACAAAGCCTGGACGTAAAAATCAGATACTGTGGATATCACCCTGGATGAACAAGTTTTGTCACGTGACCACACATGCAAACGCCGATTTAACATTTCAGCAATTACGGACCCGATTTCAGGTAATTATTTGAAGATATCTTTTTTTTACTGCATCCACAAAATTATGACCTAGATCTTAGGACCCGGCGTTAATTGAGCTTTTATCTTATGTATGTAGTAATTGCGAGACTTAGGTGTTTTTTTAGGACACTTCGACACAGATTTTCTGTTTGCACAGCAAACGCCGATAGGTTTTACCTTTTCTAACCTTTTTTGTTCACTGGAAACCCATGTAGAGTGTCTATATGTCTTTTTACAAGTAATTTTCGTACCTAACTTATTTATAATCTCATTTGCAAGGTTATATTCGATATCAACCAATGTTTTCCATTGCAAACGTCGTTTGATCATGTAAAATGTGCAAACGTCGGTTGGTCATTTGAAATATATGCAAGCGCCCGTTGGTGTCTTTTTGAACGCTGAACTATATTTGTCTCATTTCCAGAGTTCTTCATCATATGAAACAATTTCATTGCAAACTGATTCTAATAACTCCATTCTGGCCACGACGCCCATGGTTTCCAGATTTATTGAATCTGTCGGTAGCTCAACCGTTATGTCTTCTATTGGTTACAAACCTGTAACAACCAGAATCTCAGATATGTCATCCAAATCCAGGTGTTCTGAAACTGACTGCATGGTTGCTATCGACAGACAGTTTCGAGAAAAAGGTTTTTTTCAAAACATCTTACAGCCAGCTTGAGAACTGGTACTCCGAAAGATTATTCCAGTAAATTAAGACAATTTATGATATGGTGTCGTCAAAAGAATATTGATTCCTTCACAGCATCCTTAAATACTTGTGCGGAGTTTTTATCAGATCTGTACAATAAAGGTTTACAGTAGGTTACCGCTCTATTTTATCTGCAGTTTTACTTCAATTTAAGAACTCCTGTAACAAAGTTGTTGCCTGAATGGGATTTGCCTAAATTTCTTAGTACGCTACAAACATTTCCTTTTTAACCTTTGAGAAGAACATCAATTTAATTTTTAACAGTTGTTTTTCTTACAGCTATCACGACATTCAGGAGAGCCTGGAGCGACCTTCAAGCGTTAACATTAGGAGGGGCTATTTCTGTGAAGGCAGATGGGAAAACTTTTATCAGACAAGGTTTGGCTAAACAGGATAGACCTGGTCATTCATCAGCAAAAATTTTTGTACCAGCTTTTAAGACCATCCAAGAAGAGCACTTGCTATCTATCTTAAAAGAACTGAAACCATCAGACGTAAAGATGAAACAAGTTTATTTCTGACAATAAATATACCTCATTCTAAAGCTTCTTCACAAACTTTGGCTTCATATATTCTTAAAACTATTCAAGAGGCTTATGAAGATAAACATAAAAGTGAAACAGCACATTCTACAAGAGCTTTAGGTCCAAATTCTCAAAGCTGCAGATTGGTCGAAAGAAAACACCTTCGTTAAATTTTATTTGAAACACGTAACTCCAAGTGACCTCACTGTGTAGTTCAACGTCGCTGTATAGTTCAACCTAAGAAGATTGAAATTTTTTCTAAATTTTTAAATCAAAGTTTATTCCTTACGGATTTTGTGTGGAATTGATTTTTGAGAAGATTATACGGTTTTATGTATACATCTATATATGAGATATACAGAAGTTTTATAAAAGTTTGTTATTCAAGAAGAAGAATGTTTTAAATAAAAAAGAAGAAAAGAGAGAAGTCTTTTGTTCAGAGAATTGTAATATTTGCAACTTGACTTAAATAACCACCGGTTTATAATAATCTTACACCGGCTGCCGTACAGACCGGAATATCTGTCGACTTTCCACTAAACAGTTACCCGAGAGCTAGATATTCCCTTCTGTACAAACAGCTTACAATATTTTCGGAACAAAAATTATGAAAACTGGTATATACATTACGCACTTTTTTCTTATAGTAGTATATAAACATATAACTTCATTCATAAAGGAAAATGACGTCATCCTAAGAACGCGATTCATTCATAAAAGGCGCGCGTCAATGACGTCATTTAAAGCACGCGAATTGTCTTACATGTGGGTGTAAGACAGAGTTTACAAGCACCGGTGTAAATGGTAGATAATCCTGTCTGAGATGCAAGAAATATATATATTTAATATGTTCAACCGGCGTTTGCATATTTACATGTTCAAACGACGTTTGCAAATTAGACAATACGGGGAATATCATGGTATTATGTCAAATATGACTTTGCTAATGGAATTATAAATGAGTTAGGGACGGGAATGGCATTTAAAAAGACATTTTCTCTATTATTTTACCTCAACATGTATTTCCAGTGAAAAAATTGATTGGAAAAAGTAAAACCTATCGGCGTTTGCTTTGCGAAAAGAACATTTGTGTCGAAGTGTTCTAAAAAACTACTTAAGTCTAGTAATAACTATTCACATAATATAAAAGCTTAATTTACGCCGGGTCCTACGGTCTATGTCTTATTTTTGTGCTCGCAGTGGAAAAAAGATATCTGCAAATAATTACCTGAAATTGGGTCCGTTTTTGCTGAAATGTTAAATCGGCGTTTGCATTTGTGGTCACGTGACAAAACTCGTTCATCCAGAGTGGATATTGTAAAATTGAAACAAGTCTAAGCCCCTCATTTGACGGGTCATTTTACGTTCCCATAGTTCTCTTGATAACTATCGTGAACTCATATTGCTCTAACCTGACCCACGTGGAACAGGTTAGGAAACCAACATTTTTTTTTCTTTCTATGGAAAAAATTTGCTTTCCTTAGACTGCTTAGTGCATACGTTTAATTGTCATTTATAGAATATTGGATGATAAATTCAAATCGAAGATATGAAAATTTTGCCTGCGTCTCCATTTAACCGTTTATTTGTTTGCCTTAAGAAAAAGTAAAAATGTCGAGCGCTCCCCGCCTGATGGTGGCTCTTGTTAATCCTGTCAACTTTATAAATTGATTATTGTTCTCTTACTAGCGCTTTATTATTTCATATTTTTTAACATAGTAGGTTTATTTAATCTTACACTAACAAATATCATCTATTTATTTTCTTTTACTTATAGTGTAACGATTTCGTTTACGAGTGCGACAAAATCGATAAAGTAGCAGTCGGACATATGATTATCAAAGTTTGTGGAAATGAAGCCATGACAGATGACGAAAATACGGCAAAAACTAGGAAATTATTGCATGGCCTTATTACCTATCTAGGAAAAGAAGAAAAAAAAGATTGGAAAAATGCTGAAATAACCATTTGTGACAGAAACTACGATTATTGGAAGCTGAGATGCAAAAACGTACATATTAAGTTTGTTGCAAATTTAGATGGTGAAGGCGAATGTAGAATAGAACAAGTTAGTCCCTTTTAAACAATATGAGTATTTACAACAGGTGTCAAAAGGGAAATGAAATAAACTTTGAACTTTAAAAATAGTGTATATATTACATTTGAGTTGGTATATATAAGAATACCATGTAACTATAAATATTTTGAGAATGTATTTTTGCACGCTCTGAGTAACTATTTGTGTAACATATATAAATAAAATGTAGTTTCATTTTCATTCTGTTAGATTGCAGATTGCTTCGTTTCCTTAATTACCTTATGTTTGTTGATTTTATACTGGCTAATTTAATATTTCTTTGCTTGGCAAACGTCAAAATAAAATAGCAACAAAAGCTGAGTTAACACTAATTATTGCACAATTAATGTTTATTTATTTGAAAGGTTATGTTTGCATTATTAAAGGGAAGAATTAATTTCATTTCATTTTCAACCACTCTAAATCTGTAAGATTGTAACAATGATATAACATGATAATATGCGAAAAAAGGTTTTAAAACTTAGCTAAATGAAATGCAACTAGACTATAAACAGTAGACTGTGACCACTTCTACAAGGATCATATGTCACTTTTAACTCATTATCTAAAATGTTACATATTTCTTTCCCAGAACATAACCATAATACTTAATAAGATTTTGAGTTTTAATAAAAAAAATGATTGATTGCAAATGCACAAAGTGAGATGTGGCGAACATAAAAGTCGGTGAAACTTTAAAAAAAATACACAGACTGCGCCGAATTTGTTGGAGTCATGACAAATGCAATATTTTTGTATTCTTGACATAACATTTCTTTTACCTGGGCCATTATTCCTGTTAATTTATTTTCAACAATTTTTTTGTTGGACAAAAAACATCATAACAAGGATTCTGAGCAAGTAATATTAATAAACTGAAAAAAAAGAAAAAAATTCGTCACAGAGTTACCAACGTCCCCCGCCTATGGGAAGTTTTACATGAAGCACAAAATGTAGCTAACTCAAAAGATTGAGGTATTGATTTGAACTTTCAGTGAACAATTTTAATCAAAGCGACATCTTCACAAGCAAGAAATAATATTTACATTAAAGAAATAACGAATAATGAAATAACGTGTGTCAACAGAAATACATTTTTACAGTTGTTGTTACTATTTCAAAGCCACAAAATGTAACAAATACAAAATCAATACAGGATATGGTTTGTTACAGGGTATATTCCGTGTCCAGTCATCAATCAAGGTATGTGGGCGATTCACAAATGACATTTTATTTGGATAGGTTTGACTTGGCATCATACCCTGTAACAGACATTTTAGGCTTTGATCTTCAAGTGTGACTTGACCTTTGAGGTAGGTATCTGGGTGTTGAGCATGACAGACATGTCGTCTTATTAATGTAAACATTGGTGCCAAGTTATTTCAAAATCCCTTGATTGATGAAAAAGATACATACTTGACACAAAAAAATATCCTAAAATATCCTAAAACAAACCATGTTAAGCTTTGACACCCAATAATGACCTTGCTCTTGAATGTAGGGTCTAGGTGTTGAGCGTGTCACATGGTCCCAATTTTGTGAACATTTAATGCCAAGAAATTTCAAAATCCCTTGGAACAATAAAACACTTATTTATTCTTTTTACAATAAGTTTTATTAAACAACTATACCCACAGCAGAACTATTCAAAAAGTGTATTCTAACGTCTGTAAGAAACGCTCGACTGTTACCTTCCATGTGGATGTAGTGCAACTGAAATGTACGGTGTCCTGTCTGGGTCAGTTATAGATAAAGTAGAGAGATTTTACATTCATAATTGAAACTTTTGGCAGTTCTTCAAAGTTGATTTTGTCGAATGCTTAATTCAATCCTTTGGAGAATTAGTGTCCAACTTTATTTGTCATCCAATGCAAACGCTGTATTTCTTAAAATTATGTGCGTTAATTTTCATATAAGAACAAAAGTCGATACTATGTATATGTTAGTGTTCATCCGTGCTGTTGTGCTCCCGTCGAAGATTCTAATTTCTGTAGAACAGCACGGATGAACACTAACATATACTTAAAATGTAAGAGTTCGCAATAATTAACCTTAGTGTCTAACTTTATTTGTCATCCATTGAAAACGCTGTATTTTTTAAAAAAAAGTTCTGTACGTTAATTTTCATAGCAGAACAAAAGTCAATACTACTAGTATATCCAATTCCGTTCATAGTCGACTTCTATTTTTCATAGTACTTCATAGACCGCATAGTGACGTAATAAAGTGAATAATAATGAGGCCAAATAAAACTTGACACTAAATATGTTAGTATTCATCTGTAGCTGTTCTACAGGAATTAGAAACATTTTCCTGTCGCTCCTGTCGAAGTTTCTAATTATGAATGAACACTAATATATACTTAACTTTCGCATGTATCTTAAGAGAATAAAACGGTAAAGGTTCTTCGATATTTCGCGACTATTAACAAGAGCAGTGTGCTCGACTATTTTAAGTACTTGAAAGTAAAAATGAGAGCCTGGATAATGTAAAAAATTATAAGTTCAAAAAGGGCAATAGTGATATTTTAACTGCCTGAAACAGGACATCATAGAAACAGACGGAAAAGTGTAGCGAACTTGATATAGCAACTCGGGAGTGAATTTAGTTAATTAAAATAAGAAGAATAAAATAAATTGGTTGGTTATATCCTGGAATAAAGTAACTGTTGATTTCAGCATTTAATGTTTTTTTCGACGACACAAACAGTTTTTCGTTGGAAAATGCTGATTTCTTGTATAACGTCTGACATTCTATCAGAAAAAATCCAAGTTACAACAACATGTCCCCTCCACAAAAAAATCAACGGATAAATGCGTTAAAATGTCAATAAGGAAACAAACATACGAAATTTGAGGTCCATTATCCGGAATCTATACATATTAATGCAATAAATGTTAAGTGTTTTTTTTTCAATGTTATAAGACAAAACCAATTTGAGTAAATATGACTTTCTTTTGAAAGCAGCCATTTTATCATTGTTTATGAATGAAAGAGAATTCTGTCCGATTGAAATAAGTGCACGAAAATTACATGCAAATATAATTGGCAACACATTGAACTACCAAAAAACTTTTAGGCCATGTAAATATTTTGAATAGTTTTATATTTTCAACAAGAACATACATTACTTTCAATAAGATCTATCATTAAATGAGTTCATTATTTTATCTGTTCTTTTATATTTAATCGTCGTATAAGTATTCATTTCAGTAGAAGTGTGCTCACGTTAATTAAGTTCGGACCGTAAAAGAAAATAAAGAAGAAAAAACTTCAGATCGCTAACAAAAGTAACAAAGTACATCGACTGTCAGCCTTCAGTTAAAATTAATTTGGACATAGCTTAACTTGACACATCTGCCGATGTTTCTAAATTAAAATTTTTACTATTTAAATATTGAATTCTGCTTAAGCCGGTGCTAGGGACGAGGACGGTAGTTTGCCCTTGACAGTACCGTCCATGGCCGGGCTCAATCAAACCGAACCTGCAACATTTTCAATTTTACCGTAGAGGTTCTTATTTTCTCACATTTTGATATTAATATGTGGATAATGTGGTATATCTTTAAGTTTATAAGAGTTTTCGAATATCAATTCATTATGATATAATGGCATGCCATTTGTAAATGAAAGATTTCGTCATAAAAAATATTTTGAAAATTGAACTGTCATTAACTTATGTACTTGAAAAATCAAATATATAAACACAGTTGCTTATTGGAAGTGTGCTGGGTCCATAACCATTATGTCTGAAGATCGAAACCTCACTCTGCTAATACTTCTTTTAAATTAGTTTAAAAATATATTGTATTTCCATGAAACTGAAAACATACAATACTTTTATAAATGCTTGTTAAATAAATGCCAATTTTGAAAAATAATTAAGATACGTATGACAAGCTAAAATATATGAACTATATAAATATCTTAATGTTTAAAACATTGTCCAAATGCCTTGATATTTGAGGCTTACAGTACATGTACTATGTGAAACATGTTTATATAAAAATGAATTATTTTTTATTCATTAAAAGCGATTTCAAATAGTTTCAACAATATTATATTTTTTATCTTTTTACCATCTAAATGCCCTTTATGTATAAGATATGCTTTTATATTTATAACCCAGAGGTCCGAAACCTCGCTCTGCTAAATGTTTTTTTTTAAATTTGATTAAAATATATGGCTATGATACAATACTGTAGGTCTGGAACACATTAAATAATGGCATAGTTATTAAATAAATTCATATTCCTGTCACATAAGAATAAATTAAATGCTGAAATACCTGCATTATTTGAAAATTAAACGTAATATGTGAACAAACTAAAAATATGAACAATGTTAATATATCTAAGTATCTGAAACATTACCCAAATTAGTTATCATTTGAGGATGACTATGTTATGGGATGCACTTAAAAATGAAATCATAGTTATGTTTAATAAACGATTTTAAACAGTTTTTACTTCATTTTTTTCTATCTGTTCTCTCTTTTTATGTTTGTTTGTTTTTTTGCTTCCTTTAATAAGATGCATTGAGTAAATTTGTATCCTGATAGTTTTCCTAAATATTTCAGTCATATAAATATTAATACATGTATAATATTTGACTATTTCCAAATTCAGCAAGACAATAGTTTAAAGAAACTTGGATAAAGAAGCTACTGGCCGACGGATACTTCTTCAATACCAGTAATTTAAATAAGATAACTCTGTATTTTGAAATTCTTTATTATATATATATAGTTGCATACCATTTATTAAAATGAAGGATTGCATCAGAAAAATAGAATGAACGTTGAATAGTCATTAAAAAGGACAGTTTAAATGTAAATAAGGACAGCAGAGTGGCGCAGTGGAAGCGTGCTGTGCCCATAACCCAGAGGTCATTAATTAAAATGATGTATTGCATCAGAAAATATAGAATGAAAGTTGAATAGTCATTAAAAAGGGCGGTTTAAATGATAACTATATCAGCAGAGTGGCGCAGTGGAAGCGTGCTGGGCCCATTTCCCAGAGGTCCGTGAAGCGAAACCTCGCTCTGCTAATTTTCTTTTTTTTTAAATTTGCTTAAAACATATGTCTGATATTTAAAATACTGTAAGAATGGAAAACATAAAATAGGATATCATTATTAAATAAATTCATATTCCGGTCACATAAGACGAATGTTAAATGTTTTGAATATTAATTCATAATAATATCATGAAATGTCTCTAGTAAATGAAAGATTTTGTAAGAAAAATATAATGAAAGTTGAACTGTCATTAATTTATGTAGTTGAAAAATCAAATATATGGCGCATTGAAAGCGTGGCGGGCCCATAACCCAAATATCTGCATGTCTGCACTCTGCTAATATCACTTTTTAATAAGTTTAAAGATATATTGCTTTTACATAAAACTGAAAACAAACAACTTGTTAAATATTAATGTTATATTATGCATGTTTAATAGATTCCAGTTTTGAAAAATAAATAAGATATGTATGACAAGCTAAAAGATATGAACTATATAAATATCTTAATGTTTAAAATACTGTCCAAATTTATTCTTATTTAAGGCTGACATGTACCATGTGAAACATGTGTATATATTAATGAATTCATCTGTATGCATTAAAAGCGACAACTAGATTTTGTTTATCTTTTCTCCCATCTAAATGCCCATTATGCATAAGATATGCTTTTACTTTTATTTCTCAAATGCTTTTTAATTTTCATGTACTATTGTAGTATCTAATGAGTTACTCATTAGCCAATGACATTTGCCATCTTTTTAACCTGTTTCATATTTGGCAATATTCGTAAGTATATAGTTATACTGAATTAGAATTTTGTACGGAAATCAAACATTCTCTTAAAACATTATTTAAACATATTTATTAAAAAGATTCATGTTTGCCACTTCTAAAGATGAAAAAATGTATTTGTTTCTGAGACATGATGTACCTTTATTGTCCGATTATAATGACAATAATGAATTCTTCTTACCGTCTTGCTTTAATAAGAATGCACTTTGCATATTTGTGTGCTGATTTTTCCCTCCAAAATATTTCAGTCATATAAATATTGATAT